CAATGTGAGGCTTCTCATTCTTTCTAGGATAGTTGACACCAATATTAAGTAGATAATGGTACTGGTTTTTGGTTTTGTGTCCCCCCCACCCTTTTGAGGGCATATTTGTGCATTTCTGGGGCTGAAGAGATGGCTCCGTGGTTACGAGTATTTGCTGTTCTTCCAGAGGACCCAAGTTCATTTCCCAACACCCACATCATGCTGCTCATAACCACTTACAACTCCAGCTCCAGGGAATCCAACATCCTCTACTGATTTCTTGAGGGTACCCATGCATGAGACATACATGCACACAGATAAATATACATAAGTTAAAAAAATCAGAAGCCTCTTCCTGATTGGAGGAATCATACAAGAAATTTCTTCAAGTCTAAAAAAAATCCACTTTGGTCATGGAGATCTGAGCCAATACCATTGCCACTTCGCAGCCTTCAGGGAAAATGATCATTCCCCATTGTGATTGGGCAAAAATGAAGCCATGTAATTGTAGCACAACAGTGTCATAGGATCCATGACACCTGCTTTGAAAATAAATCTCTTGGTTTTGTCTTTCCTTTATTTTCAATGAGTGCTCCAGCGTTGTGTGGCTGCATTAATCTAGCAGCAGGGAACCATTATCTTATGACAACAGTCTCTCCCATTAACATTATCTTTTAATTTTCAGATTGTTTAGATGACTGCTAGGAGCTACTAAATTAAGACAAAATGAAGAAAGCATTATTTTCTCCCAGCCAAGTATTCAGTCAAATAACCCGCCTCTGATCCTGACTGCTCTTGCAAAAGCGGCACCATTATTTTTATTTCAGATTTCAAAATATTATTTGGGCGTAAGTTGAAATTTCCAGATATGTAGACATGTTTTGAATGTCATCTAGGAAAATAACCATTAAATTGAAATTATTATTATACCGCTTGCTTTTTTCCAAAGTATATATTAAGAGTTGGAAATACTGTTATTTTTCTAGGAGGCAATTGTTGTAGTAAATCAGACAATAATGAAATCACAATGATGAAAACTCAGTAAAGGAATAAAAGAAACATTTGTCTAGTAGAGTTTACTCTGGGAAATAATTGGATTTGGAGAATGTAGCAGAAATGAGATAGGAGGAAAAACCACGAAAGTAAAATAGAATTGTTATGGGCAAGTATCATCCAATATTCTGATAAACTTTAAAGTGACGGTTATATCATATTGAACAGTATCTGTGAATTTTATATTCACATATTGCAAGGTTTTCAAATAATAACTAAATTAGCTACTGTTCATTGGATTCAAAAGGTCTCTTATCCTATGGGCTAGATCCTGATACTTGAAGAGATGCAAAAATCTTTCAGTATGTGTTTTCCTTCCCTGCCTCTGGGTTCTCCAGAAGCAGGGGCCAGAATAACTGTAAATGAGGAATATATCTAAGTAGTTATGTGACCAGTGATTTTACACATTCAGTAGGAGAAATCTGTGATTCCCAGTTCCCATGAGGAAAGCAAACGGAAGAGAATTCACAGACACTGAGTTACTGTGTTAATAGAATTTCTCTGGGGGAAAAAAAAAGAAATGCTTAAGTTGTGAATTCCCCCATATTGTTAATGTACTTCAAGTAGGCCATCAATATGTGTCCTATTTACTGATAGGCACAAAATAGGTGGAGGGAAATCAATCACAAACCCCGTCCATAAATTACCATGACTTCTAGAAATTATCAAAACTTCACTGGAGTGTCATGTGCAGTCTTCCCAGCAATGAGTTATAGTCAATAATTCACCCCCTGACTGGACTGATAACAGACAGATATTCTAATAATGTGTAGGATTTACTGCTGGACACCAGCAGTAAGTGGGAACTCCAGTGCAGTGTTAACTGTTATCTCAATGGGGAAAGGCAATAAAAATGGGACGAGACATCTGGGTACAGTGTTGGGACACTTACACTCTAGGGCTAGAACAAACGTATCTTAAAGGCAGTCTTGTTTAAGTTTTCTTTTCTTAAGCAAATTCTTCCCGTGGCATTGTTCTAGAACGGCCCTTCTTGGCCTTACTGTCAGAGAACACAGCAGATGGGTCTGCAAAAATGCGAAGATAAAGTCAGGTTTATTCCTTGGTTCTTCCCCCAAATTCGAGAACACCTTCACTTGAATATTTCATTTTAAAGGAAATTTCTTTTAAAAAAAAATCACCAGCCGGGCGGTGGTGGCGCACGCCTTTAATCCCAGCACTCGGGAGGCAGAGCCAGG